ATTTCATTTTTTCCAGATCCCCTTTTGTTGCCAGTTCAGTGGGTCCAGGTGGTTGAGTATCAGAGTGTTCCATCTCATTTCCCTTTGGGTTTGTTGTAGATGATCTGGAAGTCTGGTTTTGAGACTTATTTACATGTTTTCTCATTTCGACTGGGGCGGGGGGCTGTTAGTGCCTGGACGGATTACCTCCTCTGAGCTGGGAGAGGTGGGACAGTGGCCGGGAGCAGGGGTAGGTATGGTGGCCCAAAAGCCCTTTCCTGTGGGCTGGGAGCAGCCGGAGGGATGGTGGCTGGGAAGTCCCTTCGTCTGGACCAGGAGCAGTGGGATGGTGGCTCAGAAGCCCCTCCCTCTGGACCGGGAGCAGCGGGACAGAAGGTGGCCCAAAAGCCTTCTCCTCTGGGCTGGGAGCAGCGGGAGGGATGGTGACCAGGAAGACCTTTTATATGGACCAGGAGCCAGTTGGACAGCAGCACAGAAGCCCCTACCTCTGGGCTTGGAGCAGCGGTACTCAGTACCGTGGTATGGTGGTCTGGTGTCCTCTTGCGTCTTTGTAGTGTGGAACCAGGTGGCTGTACAGAGGAGCAGAGGGGGGTCCAGTGGATTGTTGCTGGGGCACAGGCTGATTTGGCGTGTTCCGTGTGACTTGGGACCTTGGTAGGACGTGGGCAGACCTGCCTGTCTGCAGCAGGGTGATTCAGCATCTTCCACGCCACTCGGGACCCCGGTAGGGCATGCACAGACCTGCCTGTCTGCAGGGGGGTGCTTCGGAGTCTTCTGCGTGACTGGGGACCTGGGTAGGGGATGCACAGACCTCTATTGTGACTTTTATTATTTCAGGGTCTGCTCTTTCCCATTCCCACTTTATAATGGAATTCACACACGTTTTCTTTTAATAATTATATAGATTTTTGAGGGGGTATTAGTTTAAAAGAACTCTGTATTTTTAGAGCAGTGTTACATTCATAGTAAAATTAAGAGGAAAGTACAGAGATTTCCCAGCCTTTGCAGCCTCCCGCATTATCAGTACCTCCTACCAGAGTTACACATTTATTACAGTTGATGAAATGACGCTGATGCATCATTATCATCCAAAGTCCATAGGGCTCACTCTTGGGTTCACCCTTCTATAGGTTTGGACAAATATACAGTGATACATATCCATCATTGCAATACCATTGAGTGTTTTCACTGTCCTAAAATCCCTCAGTCCTGTACCAATTCATCCTTCCCTCTCTCTTAACCTGAGTAACCACTGATCTTTTTACTCTCTCCATAGTTTGAATTTTGCAGAATGATGTATAGTTGGAATTATACAAAATGTAGCCATTTCAGATGGCCTTCTTTCACATAGTAGTAAGCATTTAAGGTTCATTCAGATCTTCTCATAGCTTGAGAGCTCATTTCTTTTTAGCACTAAATATTTTTTCATTGTGTGGATGTACCATAGTTTACTAATTCACTTACTAACTGAAGAATATCTTATTTGTTTCTAAGATTTGGCAAATATGAATAAGTCTGTTATAAACATTTGTGTGCAGGTTTCTTTATGAACATAATTTTCAACTTCTTGAAGTAAAGAGCATAATTGCTGGATTATACGGTAAACGATTATGTAGTTTTGTAAGAAATTGTCACAGTGGCTGAACCATTTTGCATTTCCACCAACAATGACTGAGAGTTCTTGCTGTTGCATACTCTCACCTATCAGTGTACTGAATGTGGGCTCTTCTTACAGTGTGTTGTGTCAGTTTACATTTCTCTGGGGACATATAATGTGGAATATCTTCTTTCATATCATTTATTTTTCTGTGGTACATTTGGCATATATTCTGGTATATAATGTGAGATATGGATGCAGTTTAATTTTTTTCCGGCGGCTGTCTAGTTTTCCTAACATTTGTCAAAAAACCTATCAATTCCCCCATTGACTTAAGATACTACCTTGCCATATGTTTTTTGTGTGCAGTTGAGTACATTTCTTAACTTTTTATTTTATTCCTTTGCCATGTCTGTTAATTCGTGGAACAAAAACCACACTCTTTTAAGGCTGAAGCTTTATAATCTGATGGGGTTTATCCCATCCCACCCCAGCATACAACACAGAAACACACATAGCTTTTCTTTTCAAGGTTTTCTTGGTCGTTCTTTATTTGTTTTGTTTTAAATGTACTTAATATTTGAATTTTAAAAACAACAGACCTAGTTGACATCTAGATATTTAGCATTTCTTTAGTATTTCTAGGGACTTTATCATCTAGCATTTACCAATATTTTGTTTATGTGTCATTCATGCCCATGCATTTTCTGTTTGTTAGGTGCAGAATTTTGTATGTATATCACAGACAATAACAGGAATTTAAAGTTTATGTGGCAATCTAAATCAAGTCTGTAGAAGATTCAGAGATACCTTAGAATTAAGATTTCCTATCAGATGTTCTTCATGTTAGTCACTGAGTTGATGGCTGGAAGATAGAGAGAGGATTCATCATCAGTCTTTTAAAGATGTTTTATCATCTCAGAAAGATAGAAGTTGTTTTAGGTTGAGGTGAGAAAAAGAATGGAATTTAGTAATAAAGAATGAGACGTGGTCTTGAAAACTATGAAAAAATAGCTTGTCTTGTACTGTTTTTCTCAGGATATGCTGAGTATAAAATCAAATCATGTTTTAATAGTTTCTAAGATGCAAATGTGTACATTTACAATAATAGTGTTTTCTCTCAACTCTTTTTTTAGGTAAGTGATGACCTTATGCTTGGATATATCAGCTTCAGAAGGAATGGGTGTTTTAGGCTTTATCCTCACCTCTGCTCCTGCATAGTAAGTGCTGTTCCTCATGTGTACTGTGGTACAGTGTGGGCAAAGGGATTGGCTTGGCAAGAAAAACTAGATAATTTCATGTAAACCCTTTGCCTCTTTTACTTAAATTTGTGTTTTGTGTAGAACTTTTTATATGTGTGGTCTCTGAGATTATAAAGAAGGATAAAAGAACAGGGTTCCTGTTTTCAAGAAGACTGAATTTCCATTAAGGATATATTGAAAAGAACTTGGGTTTTGTTAATTTTGAATTCTAGTCTTCCATTACTAATTTTGTGATAAGTCAGTTGTATATCTTTTTCTTTCCCAGTTTCCTCATTTACTAAGTGTAGATATAATGATATCTGTCTGCCTCATCAGGTTTTTGGGAAGATTAAATCAGGGAATTAGCTGTGTTTATCACAGTACTTCTGTATACAGATGTTGTTCCTCATTTCCTCTTTCCAGCTCCAATTCTTTACCCAGATACTCAATTAATAGCTAGGTCTAGAATGTGGGAAAATAGAGAGCTTCTCTCCTCGTGATACTGAAGTGTCTTTGGCTGAGATTCAGGGAATCTTGGAGACCAGGCACCAGAGGATTTTGTGAAAGAATCTGTAGTGGGTCTAAGAAGGCACTTTGCAAAGCAGCAAAACATCTCCTTGAACTTCATACTCACATTAGAAAAGCCTACTTCAGTGTGGCTTAGGTATTGTTCACAAGTGGCTGTAGTTGAATCCCTATGAATATGTTAGAATTTTATGTTGGGAAAAATAATCCTTTGTTTAATCTAAAATAGAATTTAAACAAATGAATAAAGAACGTAAGCTGAGATCATTTGATATCATGCAGTTCTTTAAATAATTATCACGTTGTTGTTTGGAATTATCTAGCTATCTGCTGTAGCAAACAGATGAGCGGTCGAGAAGTGGAAGTATTCACTGTTTCATTTTGAAAGTGAAAGAGAGCTATGCCTGGGCTAGGAAGACATAAATCGGAAAAGGCAGAATGAAATGAAAGCAAGGGTACTTTAGTGTGTGTGGCTCAAACACTTCTTACCCAATGGCATATGAGGCCTAACTAGAAATGTCCGTCTCTCTAAGGAGAGGTTAGGGCTAAGGGAGACTACAGTTCACTGCACATTCGGAGACTAAAATATCTCCAAATTAGTTCCAGTGAATCATTTCAAATTATTTTAAAAGCCCTTTATATTTTAATCAGAGCCTATTCACGACCAGTTAATTTGGATGGTGTGTTCTAAAATTACTTTTCTCCAGTGATGTGTTGTGTCATTGCCATAGAATGCAGAAACCCTATGGAGAGGGGACTTGGAAAATCTGAAAGTACCGAGGAGCTGTTGATCTCAGTCAAGTTTTGCTGGTTTGTTAAGAGTTTGCTCTTGCCATCTGATCTAGATAAGAGGATGAGTTATGCTACTTTTGTAGAGAGGGTGGTTGTTTCCACAAAATTCCAACAGTATAATTATTTTCGGGAAGACTTGCTCCAATGGCATTGCTTAGTTTAGGAAAATTGTTTTAGTAGCCTTAGATAATTTCAAAATGTTTATCCATAACAGTATTTTACCAAACTTTCCTACAATTAGTAAAAATTGTATAGAACACATCTTTAGTCATTATATAAACACCATGGAGTACCATGTCCCTTATTGTTAACTTTAGAAGAAAGAATAAGTGGCTGGATCACATGTTGGGACAAGTTAAACTTCATGTTGTATTATTTTCACTTCAGAAATGTTGAAACTGAAAGTTTTAAGAAAGAGGACCTGCTTGAGCTTACACAGCAGCGTAGTGACAGAACTCTGACCCAGTGCTTTACTGATGGCAGTCTTCATCTTCTACTCCTCTTGGATTGGGGAAGTTCTTCCTACTTAGCTGTGGCATTCTGTATCTTCCACTGTGTGACTGGGAGGGTAGAGGCTGCAGTATCTGCGTGGAAGCTGTTTATTTTACACTTAACTAGGTCAGAGGAGTCATTCATGCTCAGTATTTCCATGATTTCTGCCCTAGTTACCAGAATCCACATCTTGGGTTGATGTTGTGCATTACTTACTAGTTAACATTCTTCTTCAGGGAAAGAAAATAGGAGAAGAAAGAGATGGACAGGATGAGTTTTTAAATTATAGAACTAAGTAGCAACTGGTAGACAAGAATTTTTTTGGCAGTTTGTTAGAATCTCATTTTAAAGCAATAACATACTCAGAGTTGTATTCAAACACTGAGATAAATGCATCAACCTAAATTCATAGTTTTGTTTTTTTTAATGTAGCTGCTAATTATTGAACATAACGAGGCTTATTCATAATTTCTTTTCTCCTGCTTGATAGCCATAATCCTGTATTTGTGCTGTCATCCCCATGGTAACAGACTAATGTCTGAAACATAAGATTATTAAACACAGAACAGTACATTTAAATAATGTTAAGGTTCTGACTTGCACAGAGACTTTCACACTGGGGCAAACTTCAAAAAAGAGAACACTTACACAAAAAGCAATTTACTTGGCCAGTAATGTTTAGTATTCCCACAGCTATTATGGAAGAGATTTGTTTGAATTATAGCCTCTTTCTTCTCAACCCATCATCTCCTTTGGCTTTGCAGCCAAGTCTTAATCTGGTGTTTATGATGTCAGCCTATTGCCATGGGAGTTATTCTGTCACAAATGTATTGTGACTTCACTGCAGGAAAGAGGCAGAAGAAAATTTAGGCCGAAGGAGAACAACTCTAAAGTTAATCTCCAGCATATCTGTTCTGTAAAGAAGTATTCCTTTCACCTTTATGTGCTCTTAAAAAAAAGTTAAGTGATGCTTTGTTGAAGGTTGGCCCATCATAAATGTTGTTGAAATGACTGAAATGCCAAAAGCCAGCACTAAGGAAAAAATGTTATGTAGCTTGACCTTAGGTATTTGAAGAGTGGTCAAGATTTATGTTTTTAATCCTATGCTACTATAATGAAGCACAACCTTGTTTGTAGTGCATAAATTGATACGGCATTTTTTCCTGCTTTTCTTGTGAGAAAATTGCTTATATCTTAAATCTAATGTGATTGTATGCTCAAGGACGTGCTTCCTGCCTTGTGCCCTTTGCTTCTACCGCCATTAGCAGCTACATCTTTAGTATTCATGGGCTCCTGTGGAAGCTCTGCCAAATGGAGAGGTGTCTTTGAAGCCAAATTTTGTAGTGCTCATAACTGCGTTCACATTATGGTCCCTCGGGGACTCCTTCGTCGTTTGTTATCTGGGACATTCTCCTATTTGAATGGCATAAATATCTAGACTTTTTCCTAGGGATAAAAGATTTCTGCAGATTTAAGCTAAGTGCACAGGTGGTGCTGTGTACGTGATGAATTTTTTTTTGTCATAAACTAGTAGTACAAATAGAATCCATATATGTTAAGCTATTTTTTTTCTTTCTTTTTCTTTAAATGCAGGATACAGGAAGAAATTGAAGGGGAATGAAGTTCTATGCAATAAATAAAACCTTTTTGGGCTATATTTAAGTAATATGTACAATTAGAAAATTAGCTATAACAAGTGTGTCTTTTATGTTGGAATTACAAAGTTTAGGAAATTTTTCTCTCTCCTCCATCATTTTTTTGGGGTACTGGGGATCAAACTCAGGACCTTGTGCTTGTTAGGCAGGTGCTGCACCGCTGAGCTGAATCTCTGGCCCTCTCCTCCATCTTTGAACTTTATAGAGAATTTTAATGTAGTTTTTCTTATTAGAGTAAACACTAAGGTAGGCAAGGCTAAGCAAGTTTACATTCTTTCTTCAAATATCTCTTTCTAATTGCTGTCAATTTGAAAATGGTAGTCACCTTGGAATCTGCATAACCTCATTTTGAGTTTGTCTTTCCGTTATCTCATCTAAATCAACATCCTTCTTCAAGAGTAGAAACTCATGTTAGCATAATATGCCATATACCTTTATATTGATTCTTTTCAGGTTTTGTGGATCCAGCTTCAGAAGCAGCACTGAGTGTGTAAATGATTTTAATAAAAAAGCAAATATAAAGTAATGTATTGGGTTGGTGATTATCCCTCCCCCCCTTCTTTCTTGTCATTCTCTAGACTGACATCTATTGTAAATCTTGGAGGTGAAAGAATTTTGTTTCTGTATTTTGTTAGTGACTCCCAATCCCCGATGCTGGATTTCTATACCAAAGATACTTGTTTGAGAAATTGACCTGGGCTTTGGGATTTTTAAAAGATCGCTAGATGATTCTAATATATAAGCTAGTTTGGAAAGCCATTACTTTTTATGTAGTAATTGCTGAAAATTGAAATATCAAGGGAAAGTCTAAAGATATATAATTGATTTTTACAAATCATCTATGATCCACCTGCTTTATGTCAAAGTTGCCTGGAACCCTCTCATTTCCTCTCTTATAAATATACTGTAACCAAAAGTTTCTTACCTGCTAATTTTTCTTGTTCTTCTGGAATGAACAATGGGTGAACATTAATTATTTCTGATGTTTTCTTTGACATCTACCTTTGTTTTTTTTTAATTTGTAAAATTTTAGAAAAATTTTAATTAAGACTATGAAACAAAAAAAAAAATCACACAATTAGTAGGGAAAAGGACAGAGATCTGTTTTAGAGACTTGGTTATCACTGAAAATTGAACTTTAGTTTCTGACATTGGATTCCACACTGTGCATCATCTCTATATTGTGCTCAGCCTGCATGCAAATTGTTTTCCTTAAGCTCTTTATAAATGATGAGATGACATTAAAAGAATAGTTTAATCATGTTTTTGTTTTTCAATATGTAACGCTAGAGGAGATGAGGAAAAATAGAATTTCTTTATCTCATAAACCAAAGTACCTTTGCAATGAAGTTCTGACTAAAACTTAACCCGGCATTTTTTCATTTATCTTGGATATTGCTTTTCACATGTCTCGTGGTTTTTGTAAACATGATTTTCCCTCTGGAACTAGATAGAAGCAAAGGTTATAAAGAAAAGTGTTGGTATCCAAGCATCTTGCTTCTGATGTTTAGCCTT